TCAGGGCCTGTGACAGCCTCAAAAAATTATTTTGTTTAGACACACTAAGGAGAATTTTATCATTAGATGTAAAGGGAGAAATGCTCTCATCTTTATGTGCGCCAGTCCAAAGATGTGTAGCAGAATGTTGTACTTCATAACAATGCAATAATGGAAACCTCCATTCCACATGTAAAGTACATTACAATAACCCAGCCGCAGTTATAAAGACCTCTTAAAATCCTTCCTACATCCAATTGGCTTTGTTTAGGCCAGCTGCCTTGGCTGATAATAAAAGCACTGGATGTAGATGTTTTACGTTTTACACAACCCCCCCAATCCGAGAACTCCCTACCCAAACAACCACACAACTGACTAAGCATCCCATTCATCTAAGTTTCCGTTTTCAATCATGTATCATATTTCACTTATGTTTGATGAGATCGTTGACTCTTTTGTCAATTCCTGTTTATGGTATCCTCGTAGCAGCCCCCCCCCCTCCCCCTTGCTCCTCTCTTTGCCTCCCTTTCACAGCCAAGCTGTCAAGGGGAGCATGTTGTTGTTAAAAATGAGACAGGGCAACATCAGGGCAACATGTGATTAGCATTCATTGCACCATCTCCTGTTCTCGAGGTATTTTATTACCACAGGTGCAGGAGCATTCACTGATCAGATGCACGCTATAGGCGAGGTTAGCTCTTAATTGAAAACAGCTTTATTTATACACCTGCAGGCACTAAAGGTCTCAGAGAAAGCAAAGGGAAGCTGAAAAGGGTGGGGTGGGGGGGAGCAGTGACAGAGCAGTGAAAAAAGATGTGCCTTGGGAGGGATAGTTTATAGCCCACAGGGAAGGGAATTGCATTCTGAAAACAGTTTGCTACCCAGTGAAAAGAAGACAATATATATGCAGGTGCAAATGTCTACAGAGAGGGTCGCTGCTACAGGCAGAAACACTGCACTCAGTGCATATTTTCCCTCTAGTATAAAGAAATGATTTTTGTTTCATTTATTTTTTTCAGATATGAAACATTGTCTTTGTGAGGACATGATGGTATTCTGATCTAGCAAAACATTGTCCTAATTAGCTTTAGCCATATTGCAGGTGTGACTTTGTATTCAGGGGGCCAAGGTTTTTAAATGCAACCATAACAGGAAGCGATGGAGTCAGTTCAGCAGAGGTCCAATCAGAAAACTACAAGGAGAGGAAAAATCTACACATATTCTCTGTTAAAGTCTCTGTAGGATTAAATATCCCTTGATGGGAAAGCAATAAAAGGTAGTTTTATGTATGTTTTAGGTGGATTTGCTGCAGTGCCCAATTTATATTTTCTGATGACAAAGAAAAAAAAAAAAAAAAGATCAATAAAATGATAAGTATTAATCTACCACTATCAGCAAAAATATTTTTCATGCACTTATACTGTCCTGAAATGCCTTGGAGAGGAAAGGAATATATGTTTTTGCTACAAACTAAGCTTCTCATAGCTCTGTTTTGGAAAAAAGTCCAAGCACTACATGTTAATGATTGGCTGAAAAAAATGGCAAATTACATGGTCCTGAAAAAAAATACCTATATATTGAAAGGTATGGTAAATATAAAAAATTTGAGGAGATGTGGTATCCATTCTTATCCTTTCTGGAAGAGGGTGGAGGTAACGGGATGTCCAGTGTAAGCAATACTGATACCAACTGATAAGCATTTTATTTACTTTTTTTCTTATTATTTATAGTTTTGTTCTTTCTGTTATATTGTTGTAATCTTAATTTGATGTATGTTTGGATTTGTTTATATATACTGTGCTGTACTATCATTCAGTGTGTTAAAATTTAATAAAAATATTTTGAAAAAAAAAAAAAACTTTTGGTCGCATCATTCAAAAATAATAGCTTCTGATCTACCGTTATAGTTTTCAACTTACATAAAGATTGCTCTGGAATTTTCGGCATTTAATTTCTAACTGCTTTAATCCAAATTTTTGCAGGGAGTGGCGGCCTAGTGATTACAGCAGCAAGCGGGGAAGGCTGCAAGTACCCTTGTTTAAAGTTCTAAAGACTTCCACTCTGGGTCCCTAAGTGGGACCCTCAGCTCTGTGGTCACGGCACAGTCAACCACTGCTCCTTAAGTATTGGTTAAACACAAAGGAAGATTTGTGTGAGTTATGGATCTCAGGATCTAATCTCTCTAGATTTAAGAATTTCATTGAGAAAATGCACCTGTGTTCATTGTCCATAACATACACCTGCCCATATGATAAACCTCTAAACAACAGGTGATACCCAAACAACGTTGACATATTTATCCTCACAATGTCATACCTGCTCTCTGCCATCTTCCTTATACAGCAAAAATTTTAATTTGTTTGTGTTGGGGATCAAATATCAATGATGTAAGCAAGAGCGACTCCCCCTGACGCCACATCCCTGCATAAAGTTTACTTAAGAAGCTGACTCCATCCAAAGGCTCTCTGCCCTGAAGCTCACAAGCCTTGAAAGGGGAGACACAAACCGGTTTTCAGCTGAAGTTTACATTGTAGCCACTAAAACCTATCCAGAGGAGTCTGTGTCCGCTGACCGAATCACACTGCAATCTGCCTATGATTCAGTGGAGCTGGAAGCAGTGTCTTGTTTTTCATGTGTATCAAATCAGCTTGAACGCAGTTTTTTCTAAACCCACCTGCTGAAGCAGATGAGAAACCACCATTCTTCTGGCCAACCCACAGAACAGCCAAGCCCAGTTTGTTTGGAGCTTTGATGTTTTATCGACCGACCAATGCGTACAGTAGTCAGCATTTTTTTGAGGTGTGCGATGATGGTTGCAGAACCTCTGCGAGGGGGCATGGTCAAAACAGATTTGATGGTTGCAGCGGCTATGTGTCAGAAGCATAAATTGGCCTTTAGGCTACTACAGTTAAACTGGCTAGCATTGTTAACTCCAAGCTACCTCATTGCCAGTCCTAAAGTAGCAGCCATGTTGTGAGTCCCCTAACTCTTTAGTTCTAGCTTGCCCATCCCGGAACCATTCTTACCAGCGTCACTATATTTTGATGCATCTCTCAGTCTTTTTTCACTCTAAACTGGGTAAAATGTCACTACTTTATTCACATTTAACATCTCTGCTTCAGAGTTATTAACATTTATCTACTGCTATTTTAAATGACACTTTGAATGCATTAAGCTTTAAAACTAGAAAATACCTCAGAGACTCTGGAATGGACTCTTAAAACCTCTATATATTTGCCTTTATTTCTTGTGCTTATTTTCAGTAGTGTTTAGCGCTATTATATACAATAATACTGTGTGATCATTAGCTTAAACAGGTACCACTGTATTTTAACCCATGGTCTTGAGAGTGTTCGTTACATTCGAGGATGCAGGATTAAATGTAGTCCTGAGGTTAGATTATCATCTGTCAAATTGTTTGTCGGGAAGTAAATTGCAAGGCTTCCTGTTCGGGATTATGATGTCTCTAAATGCTTCAATACCAGACTTTTAAAATATTTCTTGAAGACACATGTAAGGCGACAGGCCTGCATGCATGACTACGATGATTTTGGAGCACTTGAAGCTGGAAGGAACCTCAGAAAGCTTCAGACATTTGTCGATGATTTAAGTGAAGACTGAAGCCGATTAGACAGGATGGCGTGTAGAGAAATACCATCTGGAGTTTTTTAGTTTTTCTTATACTGAAAACCCCTAATTACATCTTCCTTCTTGATCTCAAATGTCAGCAGCATGTCAGATAAGGGAAGGTGAAATGGGTGTTTGTTTATAGTATATATTATATTTGTAAGAAGAAAAGCATCAAGGTTTGTTCAATTCGACAACAGCTGGGAGAAAGACAATGCTGTAAGAACTGTTTGACCAGATTTGATTTATTATAGGAAGCCTTTAAAATCTAAAGGTTTCATTTTCAAGCATTGGAAAATGTAAAACGACTTCACAGAGACTTTCTCCAAACATTTAAAACTTCAGTGCAGTGATATTGAATTTCATAATCTTTATGATGATCTTAATGATGGAAAAAAATGCTTTACTGAACTATACTGTGTCAGAACCTCAAAAACAAGATCTGGGTTTTTAAAAGAGACGCAGGGATGTAGATCTTGGACAGTGAGCAGAATGCTGTGTGTATACAACTTCCAAATGTTCCCGCAACACATTTCCCTAGATCCTGTTGGGACAAGATGAAAGGCTCTGTGCCCTAATATCACTGTAACTGCAGGTGTGGAGGCTCCCATTTCACCAATGTCACTGATGTTCGCAGACGTTTCTGGGAGTAGGGGAGGGGGGCAGATCTGAGACATCTGCACATTTGGATAAGCATCTGAGAGTTCAATCAAATTCAGCACCTCACAGGTAAATGTTTGGATACTCTAAAGCCCCATATGTGTGTGGGTGGGACGGTGGTGAGCGCCCTTAATTGTCTGTTCTGGCTTGTCATCAAAGGAGATATAACAACCACAAGACTGTGTGGGGACTCAGAACAATGTCTGTGTGATCACTTTCCTCAGGGGGGCAGTTTGTTGGAAACTCCGCTTTGTAGGAATGTGTTTTGACCTGTTCATGCTAATAGTTCCTTGCTGAAATTAAACAGGGAAGATTTGCTTCAATAAAAACCTTGTTGACACGTGGAGTGGAGCAGATAAAGTGCTAGACCTTGTCCATCTACGCTGAAAGGGGGTTATAATGATAAAGATAAAGTGAAGTTTACTCTTATAAAAAAACCCGTTGAGATCTTGTCTTAAAATAGATTGTTAGAGGAAAAAATTATTAAAAAGGTCTGTACATTTGCATGAAAAGGCAGAACTAGATTTTCAAACAGCAAAAATTACACCCAGAGGTTCCAGAATTAATCTCTGCAACAACTGCTTGAGAACTTGTCCATGAGCACCATAATCAGAATTGTTAAAAGCCAAATAAAACTTATGCAGTATTGTGATATTGATGGATTCTACAAGTAATTTGTGTGCATCCTGTAAGCCATACAGATAAAACATTGCCTTGCTGAGAAGCCAACTCACATTGGGCGGCTCCTGCTGTAGAGATCGCTGCTCTGTTCAGTCTTTGCAGCCTCTGCAGCTGCTTTCCTCTCCTCAAATTCCTCCCTGCTCAGGATCATGCCCTTGTGGCCGTTCTCCACCAGCTTGCGAGCCAACTCCCTGTTCTGCGAGAGACAAGAAAAGGTGAGGAGTCGGGCAGTGAGAGGCGAGAATGCCTATAGTTGGGGCTGGACGTCACCAGGCATTGCCAATCATACATTTTGGCAAGGATTTAGCCAATGTTTGGAATTTGTTTGTCATGCTGGTGTGTGTGGATTCAAGTTATTTTCACCACCACACCCAAACTATAAAAGGAAAACCTGCTATGCATCACCACAAGGTTTAGTTTATGGGTTTTGTGATTTGATGCCTTTTCTCGGACTCATTCATCCTCTAAATGTCCGCATGTTTCCATGTGTGTGTGAGGGAGCATGTGTTTCTGCCCAAATTTTTCTAATCACTGTTAGCAGACCCACCATCCCTGAAGCCAAGTCATAAAGTCATCATCTTAAAAGCTAATCTTGCCATCAAATTCAGTGGCTTGTCAGATCAAAGCATCTGCCACATGTCCACTTACTAAGAATCCCAGCTGGGATCCGAGAGGAAAAGTTCTATTTTCCTCTAACTTTGATGTGGCGCACCAGAAATGAGTTTCAGACATGTGCCTTTCCAAGAGTTGGCCTGAAAATAAGTGTAATTATTCTGAGGCTCATTGAATCAGTCTATTTAAAAGCATCAGAACAGTACCTGGATTAATACTCTGTGACTCTGTAACATGCCCTTTTAACCCTGATAGTTCTCTGAACACACATCGTTTACTTTGACAAGATCTCAAGACATCAGTAATGTAGGTTAGCAAACAGGTTTATAATAAACTGAACTTTTAGAGATCTGTTTTCTGCACATCTTAGATAACCTGTGCTGACAGTTGTTTCACAACACATGCTGGAGTGCACTGGATTTAATGAAGCAGATCAGATATGAGTTGGTCTCTTCTCTTTGTGGACACAGGTGTTCAAACAAACTGGCTCCTGAAAAAACTTCATATATCATTAGCAAGTGTGCCATCTGCTGGATACAAGCAGAATTGTTCTTATGAAATACTGTGGGGATTGGCTGCTGTTTGCAGATTACTGCCGCTAACAGTTTTATTAGCCAAAGAATATATATTTTATAACAACAATAAAAAACATAGCTTTGTTTTTTGTGCTGGCTCTAATTTGTGGTAGATCAATGGTAAGGAGTTCAGGATGCAAACCCAAATTTCCCTCCTCTCAGTGACAATCAACTCCTTATGGGAGATATCAGGCTGCTGTCTGACCAAAGGATATGCACAGTCTATCTCTGGGTTCTGGCTAGAGAGCGTCCTCTTAGTCATTTGTGCCAAAGTTGTATGCAAAGGGGCAGCAACTTTCAGTCCACCTTCCCCTGCACAATATCCCATTGATGGTTATGGAAATCCAGCGGAGAAAGCTAAATACAGCTATACAGAACTTTTTATTTTAGCCAAACCAAAGAAATGTCTGCTTCTAATCTGAGTGGCTCTAGCTCTGGGGATGGCAGTCATACAGAAAGTTGTTCAACAATCTCAATGAATGCTAGAATGAAAACATGGGGACTCTAGGGTAAATGAGGACTACAAATGGGGCCCACTAAAGTCAGGCTCTGACTAGATGGACAAGTTTGCAGCCAAGCAGTTATACATACCTTGATTTCTCACACTAAGCTGGAGTTAGCAAGTCCAACTTAAGCCCTGAATGGGTGGAAGATTGGGAAATATTTCATTACAACCTAGGCAGATGATAACAACAGGGTTGCTGATAAGGAGTTAAGGTGCAAAAAAAGGGCTTCATTATATCCAAAAGTGTCCAGGAGACTCCATTTGAGGTACAAAACTACATTTTAACCAGTGCAAAGCTGTGCAAAAAAACATTTACAGCAGAGGACCTGTCAATGTTGGACAACATGTGATCTCATCCTTTATTCATTCATATAAAGGATGAGTGGCACCATTACTGTAGGAGTGGTGCCAGGGTGGCATGGTTAGGGCATACAGTAGGGCTTGGAATCCTGACTTTGTGAGTTCGAAACCCACTCCCACAGACTTCCACTCTGGGCCTCTGAACAACACCCTTAACCCTAGACGCTGCAAATGGCAGCCGACTGCTCCCTAAGCGGATGTGTTAAAAGTCGAGAGTGAATTTCATTGTGCTGTACTTGTGACAGTGTAATGACAATAAAAACGCTGGAATACTTTTGGAAACAGCTGGTTATAAAAATTGGAATAGAAAGCCATTTTTATCAAAATAAAAAGCAAAGAGGAAATGACAGTGAATGTTATGACAGAAATTAGATAGGTGGGTTTGGTTAAAATTATTTAGAGTATATGAAAACGTAAATTTAAAATAATCTGCCAAAGAGGCGTCATGTTCACAACCATGAAACACAGTTACGATAAAGTCTGGAGCAAGCTTTAAACGGTATAGCTCATGTCTATCAAATCCTAGAATGTGAGGAACAGGCCTCGTATTAATCTTTTCGATACATTATCGCTTTGGTTTATCTCAGAATGTACCAGATAGTATACCATATTAGGATGTTAGAGATACACTTTCATCATTTTCTGAAGCACACAGGACTCCATTTTTATTCTGCATGTGACAGATGGCAGAAAACTACAAAATATCTTATCTAAGGCATATTTCCGACAGTTCGAAACATTTTAGATATTATTTGCATGGAGAAAAAAAAAATCCATGAGTTCTGTGGGGTTTCTAAGTGGAGTATCCTGTTGTAGTTCATGTGTGGGATTGCTTCCCAACCAACCCTACACAACACTAATGAATAAATAAAGGATGACATCACATGTTGTCCAAGGGTAAACCCTCCACAGGGTCCAGAAGTTTATTAACCTGACAACAGCCAGATGAATGTCTCGCTCTGGGCGGAACGAGACATGCATCTGGCTGTTGTCAGGTTAGAAGTTTATATTCAGCATGACATAAATAATTGTTTAAGTAATGAAGAATACTGATCCACTATTTTAATATTGACGCTTTAAATACATCTGATATACTTGCAGATAAACTCCCTTTGCCATGTTTAGCAGGGTTTATAATGTATAGAACGAAAAACCACAATAGGGACCGTAAGGAAAATAAACTAGGTTTCGCGTTTCAATTCCCTGTAAAAAAAACAAACAAACAAACAAACAAAAACATTATTGTGGTTATGAGATGCTCAAAGTCTCATTCAATTTTGCCAAATAACAAATTGCAACAAATTCTACTTAGAACTGTTTCTGAAAATGTAAGATTGTCTGAACAATAAATAGGACACTTTATTACATTATAGCATATTAGACAGTGAGCCACATGAACTAATACAAAATAAGGTTGTGTAAAATAATTTGCGTACAACGGAAAAAAGGTAAATTCATTAAATGTTTTGCAATTCAAAATAGGTAATATACCGCCATCTAGTGTGCAACAGTAGTTACTACACCAGTACGGCCTTTAGAGCGTGTAAAGGCATTTCCTGCAACTTATACTGTTATGCATGAACGTAAATTAGGTTTATCAATATAGATGCTTATTATAACAACACGATAATATGAGGATATATTGTTTTATCTAAAATCCAAACATTTTTATCAAGAATCCAAATACTTTCCTGTGATACTTACTTAACTAACCAACTAAGTACCAACTTAAAAAAAAAAAAAAAAAAAAAAAAACGTTGCCGAGAGAGAAAATTATGAATGTTTAATAAATTACGGAATGAAAAGAAAGTTCCGGTAGAAGAACAGGCTAGAGAAAAAGCCTTTGACTGCAAACAGTTCAAAAGTTTTCAAACGACGAGAGTTTGGTTTGCAACCCAGATAACTAACTCTGAATAACTTACTTTTAAATAAAATAAATCCGTTGGAGTAACTTTAGAGTCCAAATAATCTACATAGTCTTTAAAGTCGGCGAGGAAACGGTAAAGATGTCCAACTTTGGTGAGCTCCATCTTTGAGTCCTTGTTGTTTGGAAATGCTGCCATGGCAACTGTGTTACGGAACCATGTCATGAATCGATGCGCCAAAGTATACCCGACCTATGTACTTTTAGTGTACTTGAAATATTACTAAAGTAATACTTCTTCGAACTAAATTGGAAAATTTTTATGTTTACAAAACTATACTTAAAATATAATGTTCCAAGATCATTTTAAGTTTACTAAATTATACATTAAAGTGTTACACAAGTACAGTAATCAATATAGTAGAAGTTTACAAGGTATACTGTACTTGTGGTTCACATTTAAGTTTATTGAAGTATATTTAAAGTATACCACCAATATACTTTTCAATATCCTGCCAATGTACTAGTTATACAGTGCTAGTCCAAATTTTTACACATTCAAGAATTACTAAAACTACAATATTATTTTTGCTATTTTAATTTGTATATTATCAGTATACTTAAGCTAACTCGCCATATTTGAATTATTTTGAATAGAAAAGCATCTAATAAAGTATTTACTTTACTTATTAGTATAAATTTAGTATTTATTAATCTTTAGTGTTAATTAAGTAGAAGAAATACAGCTTTAGAAACTTTGACCAGGACTTCTGATGGCTACACCGCATAAGAGCATCTCCAAAAACTACAGATTTTGTATTTCTGCTCTGTGCTTACTTCCTATCAAAACTTGTCCAAGAATGGATGACCAAATTTATTTTTGCACATTTAGTGCAAAGGCTGGTCCTGATCCAACAGAAAACATATAGCTCAAATTGCTAAAGAAGTTGTTTCTTATACAAAGTTGATACAATACACAATGCATTGTAATTATTTCTCTCAGCTTCATAACTGCAGACTAATCTAGTCCCAGTCCCTCCTAGACTAGTCCCATAAACCTAAGCCCAATACTGAATTGGGTTCTATTTGTTATTTTTTTTTGTTAATTTTTTTTTGTTTGTGGATTACATGCATTGTCAATATTAAAGCATTTTATTATTCTATCTTCACTATAACACCAAGTATGTTATAAATTAATGTACATAGATTAAACAGACCAACCAAAAACCTGTATTAAAACTTTATATCAACTTCTAGAACACCATTTCCTTTGTTGAAGAGTTTTGTTGCCAGAGAGGCTGTTCAAAAGCCCCTGTTGGTAAACTAACTTTGCATAAAGAAGTCCTTGAAGTCAGGCACACATTTTAAATATAACATTGAATACATTGTCAGAATTTTTTAATCTTAATGAAAATAAGAAAATATATTATTTAACCCCTTCTCCTTGATCTACACAGATAAAATGATCATATTACAGGTGTTATTAAATCAATAGTGACTTCCTTGTTGAAAAAGGAAGGATTTAAAATTTGTAATTTTAGCGATTAAGGTAGTACATATTTTTTGGGGTAAAAAAAAGTCTTTTGTCAAATTGGTTAGGTTAATCTAGACTCCAGATAATATATAAATATATATATATTCAGAGCTAATATGAACATCAGCCCTGGAACCAAATCCCTTGACTTTTATCAAAATCTCAGAGGACTGTCCCCAAATCTTAACAAAGATTTCCAAAAATCATTACAAAATAGAATGAAAAAGAGCAGGTAGACCTTTAAGCTCAGAAACAGAACGGCACAGATCACATCTATTTTTCATCGCAGTGTTCAATATTTAAGTATGGGTTTATTTCTGGGTAAGAAAACACTGGTTGACCTCAGAAATGAGACAAAGCTTGCATGACAGTCTTTAATGTTTAACCTAAAGAAGCAGCATATTTCTTTCTATGACTTTCACATTTTTGGCTACTTACTGAGAGTACAGATGACATGTCAGCAGGAAGAGGGGGTGCTAAGATAATTAAAAAAAAAAAAAAAACCAAAAGTAAAAAAACAAAAAAACAACTTAGTGATACTTTCAGTAACTCTGCACCAATGATCACGACATTAAAACAATAAACAACTGTCAGGCTGCTTGGAAGGAATAACTGTGAATGAAGAATTTTTCCCAGCATTATAAATGATCTGAATCTTGACTTTGGAGCAAAGATGTTCGCTCTATCCTCCTATTGTAAACTGTTGCAATAAAAGTTATTTTAGGCACCTACTGTATTGTGTTCCCCTTTGGTTGCTGGCTTAGAATGGAAAATACATTTATAATTTTGAACTAATATGTGTTTGAGGCAAGACTATTTCTTATTTAGGGTTAGAATACGATGTACAACTGCAATAAAAACAAACAAACAAAGAAACAGATTTTTAACCACTCAAAAAGTTTTTATCTGAACTCATAAACCTCCACTAAGGTATTGAACTTTCAGATTTAGATTTTAGGCTCTTCATACATTACCTTCATCACAATAAAATTAGATTTTTGTTTTTTCTTAAAGGACAAATCAATATGTTAATGGGTTCAAATGTTGAATCATTAGTCCCAAGGTAGGAGAAATCCCCCCAGACCAGACATCTGATAGCAAAGTGAGAACCTTGGTGAATGAGACGAACCCAGGAATGGTTTTAAGGTAAAAAAAAAAAAAGAAAAAAAAAAAGAGAAAGAATAACACAAAGCTGTCATGGTCCCAAAGGTTTTGGATATGGTCTATTCTCTCAAACCTGTCAGCAAGTATATATTTCTGTCATTAAAGTACCAGAGACTCTCTCTAAATATCACCTTGGGATTACAGTGAAATATGATATCCTCTAATGTTTCAGAACTTGGAAAGCAATTATGTGTTCATGAAACATGCTTGATACTTCATACGCTTACAGTAAAGCAGAATTATTTCTGTTTTCTGAACAGCATCTGTTAGGAAAGTCCACAAAATATTTGTACTGTTTTTTATTATAAACTCTCCACCATACTGATGTTTATGTAAAATGCTTATAAAAACTGTTTCCTTTAACAATGCATGTGGAAAACAACACCAACAGTTAACAGTCATTTGCTGAATGCTTTTTTTTTCACTTGTTTTCATCAGTTTCAACATTTTCAGTACTGGTAATATTCAAGTGTGAAATAAGGGCATGTTTTACAATAAATTTATGCATCTAAACCTATCCATCAGTAGGCTTTTGTTTTTTGCATCACTTTCTTTTTATTCGATTGCATTTGTAAAACACAATTGAAATTCCTTATCTTAAATGAATTACTGCTCTCAAAGCACATAAGGTGTGTATTTAAGACCATTTACTGATAATAATAGTTTCCTCTCATTTTCTTACAATAGAAATATTTTTTTATTTAGACCAACATAGAGTTGGACTCCATTTCATTTAATTGACAGTCTGATTCCTATGAACTTTTTCATTCAGTCTAACTTTTATGTGAGCTTAAGGATACAAATCTAACTCCTGTTTGGTGACAAAAATACGGCAGCAGAAGAGACGGCAGGACAATAGATTTAGCGTTCATGTCTGGGAGGAGGAAGTAAACCTGCAAAAAAGGCCTGCAGTCTGCCTGCAGTCAATTTTAATATCTCGTGCCAATCTATGAGTTACAGGGGCTTCTCTTTTATCAGGAGAATCCTTGCTGCCCTGTTTGCCCTGAGACAAGCTGAGACACCGGGGGACATCGTTTATCTGTCTGAAGAGAGTAATGATGTGCAGAAAAAGGGGGAATCACACAACCAGTGTTTTCTGAGTCTCTGTGTGTTTATAAACAGTTGGCAATTGTTGTTTTTTAATACCAATCATGAAGCAAGTTCCAAATTGTTAAACGTATCAAGGTTTGTCTGCCCCCAAATAAAGGACTTTTATACAAGTGGACAAAATAAGAACATTTACAAACATAAACAGAGTTACATCTATGAAAAGTTTAGTCAAAGTGCAATGATGGTTTTTAGGTGCTGAATGGCCAAATAGGTGAAAAATTGCAAAAATAACCTTGTTACTGTAACATACACTGTGCTATATCAGAGAATCAATTCTCCAAAATATATAATAATATCATTAAGAGTTCGTATTTGCTTCTCTTAAGATCTCTGCTCCTTCATGGCCGGTTTACAGCTCTTTGCCATCCGATACACCGACATCTCCAACCATCAACAGCATTTTCATCCGTCAGCTGGCGACAGACGGGGGATGTCCTGAGGTCATGATGTCTGGGATTTTTTTTTTTCCAGGGAGACAGCTGGTCAAAAAAATAAACTGAGTTTTGATGAACTGTTTGATCCTTGTCCACTATGGATCTGGAAGTTTGTGGAACAATTCATTGTTATTGGGCTAATTATGACAAATTCAGAGTTATGAGAGGTCAGTAGTTGCACACACCCCTGATGACAATCAAATAGATCACCATTCCATTTCATGGACTGCTCTGACACAAGCTGCACTTTATTCACTACATAGCATGTATCTAAATATATTTTATTTCTTTTCAGGTGTTTTTATAACTCCTAAAAGAGTTTTTCCTCCATTTTATTTTTCTAAAATGGCTTTATACTCTATGTAATGATTTTCGTTTGAGGCTGTTTCATTTGATCAAGAGTGTCTCTAAGGATGGTTATTTTTACAATGAGCATTTTTCTCTTTTTATTTTGCGTGAATCTGGAGCATCAATAAGATTTTCTTTTAGTTTCATAATGACAATGAAGATGATTTATTCTGCATTCGGAACACTTTAATGCTTTACTTTCATTGATTTCATGTCTTTCCAATTTTGAAAAGTGACTGAAAAAAATGATCTCAAAGCTTTGATGTATTATATTTTTGCTCCAGGAAGACAGGAAATGTTGATGTATGAATTGAAAATTATTAAAAGTTACAAATTAATCTGATAAACTTTAAAAGCAAAGGAAAAAAGGAAATCAGAAGCACTTATTGTATAGGAAGGGTATTAAGCATGACATTTTTTTCAACACATTTTTTTACATTTCTTTTTGTCAGTATACTTAAGTTACTAGTTGAATCTTCAAAAATAAATGTTTGATGCTTTTTTCATTCTAGTTTTTTTCTTTTTTTCCTCCCACAGTTTTACAAATCTTTCCCAGATTGGATTAAAAATATGGAAGGAGCAGCAGGGGGATGGCGCCCGAGTGTTCATAGAATAGTCCTTTTCAATCCAATTTTAAAATACTTTATTAATCCCAGAAATTGTGTCTGGCTGCTGCAGAGATTGCAGGACCACCAATATAAACCTCAGACTGCCACTCTGGATCCTCAAACATGACCCTTCACACCATGATGCTCCCAAGGTTGAGTGATTTGCTCCCTAATAGAGGTGAAAAATTACATTAAGAAAAAGGCTTCAATTTTTTGTTCACATGAAGTTTAGATGTAAATTCAAAATGGAAGACTCATCCAAGCATCACCCGCATTCAATCACCTCCATTAGCCTTTGCTTCAGCCAATCACATTCAATACCTCAGTCCTCTTCAGCCAACCATGCTGTTTGGTTCTGCTTAAAGCTCTACAGTCACAGATTCTCCAGGTCTTCAGCTGGACTTTGACCCACCTCCACCCCATCTCCTCCATCATGATCTCCAGCTCCTTCTGGCTTCTTTGTGGTCTGGCCTCCACTCCACCACCAGAGTCCGGATCCTGGGGGAAGACATATCTAATCCTAATCTCAAAATTTTGCGGAATTTGAAATTTCCATGTCCTTTTGCCTGTGTCTGGGCCAAAAGGATTGTCCGATTCATCAATAAATCTCTCTAATTGCCCTCCTTCTTGTGTGTGAATCACAATTGCTGTAATTTTTATTTAGAGACTTTTTTCCCTTTCACTCCAAAAGATGCTTATTATGAGATATTCACAAATATTTTAAACCACAGTACATTTATCAGTTTAGTTGGACTAAATTACCTATAAGTTTCCCAAGAAACCTAACATAAAATACAGTAGATTAAAAGCTCAATTCAATTTACTAGTTACTGTATGGCCAAAGTTGTTTGATGGCCCCAAAATGCAGTAATGAATTTACAGTAAAATAAAACAAAAAACAAAAACTACAAAAAAAAAAAAACTGTTGTCTGTCATCTTTATGTGAATTGTCTACTGCAAATGTGTCTTCATAGTTCTGCCAAAAATGTGGATCTAACAGAAAAACTTGGAAAGTAGAGCACATCAGCCAAGTTCTAAAGTCCTTCCACCGGCACTATGTATCTAAGATAACAGACTTAATATACTTCTGTTAGTCTATAGTCACTGAATGGTTCAGCATCAAAATACATTACAGCCTTTATGCCAATGTGTACTGCCCAGACCTCTAAGGTATTCTGTCTCAATTTGCATACCCAGAACCAGAACAAAACACTGAGAAACCGAATTAAAGTTTTATGTTCCACTAATCTGGAATAAACTGCAGGAAAACTATAAAAATGCAAAAACCCTCAGTTACTTTAAACTAGGATTAATACAAAAAAAAATTAGAGTGGTCTTTGACTCTGATATCTAAACATTTTAAATTTCTTTTCATGTTTTATCAATCATTTTATCTGCTTTTAATTCAGTGAAATTATTTTTATTTTCATTATTTTTTATCATTTGTTGCCTTTATGCCGTGGCAATGCTCTTTGTTTTTTTTCTTATTTTATGTAGAGGACTTGTCTCACTGCTGAAATGTGCTTCATACATACATTTGCCTTGCCTGGTGTGTTAAAAGCTGGGGGTTACAGTCTAAGGTGAATTTGAAAATGTAACTAATTTCTGATTGATTTAATTATACAATAACTTATCAATATCTTTATTCAATAAATAAACTAAACTATACAATAACAATAGCTAATTATACAATAACAAAAACAAATTTTTCTTAGCTGGTGGATATCAGTGATATTAGGTCAATTTATGAAGATCCATATGAACTGAAATCCAGGGACTGTTAGGGGTAAATGAATACTTCAAGATTCTGGTTTGATTGAAAGTTTTGCACCAAACTGGATTTACAGTATTTAAACCTGTTCAGGATTTACCACACCCTCATTGTTTTTGACTGCAAACAAAGATTATTTAATGTAAACTTGTTTTTTCTTATTTATTCATATAAAATAAACAAACCTTATATCTGAAAAGTAAAAAAAAAAAAAAAAAAAAAAAAAAAAAAAAAAAAAAAAACATTTTACTGTAACATTCTAGACCTAAAAAAAAAACAAAAAAAACAAAACAAACATTTCACATGTTTTCTTTCTCTGGTGGAAATGCAGCTTTCATAGTACGGTTAACAGAACGTGACCAATGACATAAAACAGAACATACACAGATTCAAGTTCACAGAGCTATAGTAACAGATGTGACAAGCGTTAGTTAAGCAAGTGTTCCTGTCAGCCCTTTGTTTAGTTTTTTTCATGGTTCACAGAATTCTGGAATGATTTAAACATCAGAAATAATATTTGTCCATTTTTTGTCCAGCCTTTGAAAACATTATCCAAACCTGTACTTGGGCCAGTATTTTATTTGTCTGTGTCTCTGAACTGTTGCTTGTGGAACTTTTGTCCTCACAGGTGGGGGTTTGGGGGATGATGGTGGCAGCGCTTTCCCCCTCTCTTTGGTCCTTTCTGCTATGGTGAAGCCTGTTTGGCTTGAGTCATGCAGGGTGGCCCGGGGTAAGAAGTGGGTGGAGACGTGCTGGGATTTGACCCGTGGACTGGAACCCATTTTAGCTTTGCCCCTCTTATTGAGGGCAACGTACCACTCTCGACCAGTCCTTTGGTTCATGTGGATAACAGAGGCATAGGTGTTGTAACTGTTCTCCTGGAAACGCTCTCTGAACTTGCAGTCATCAGAAAACCATTTCTATAAAAGAGAAGATAAAGGGTATTAGGTGGTTTCAATACAAAATGAATTTGGCCTGTAAAACCAATTTCTCTGATGTTAAACACCATAAGTCCTCCTTGGTGCAAACTAGAAAACAATACAGCTATGACATAAATTAAGTGTGTTAATTAGTAACAAGTGATTGATTTCAGTTCATCCTTCTTAATTTATTTAGGTTGCAAGTTGTGAAGCTAAACCACTTTAAATAAGTGAATTTGCTTCATGTAATTCAGTTATTTGATATTAATTAAAGCAGTAAGTTTATGGTATTTTTTATTAATAAGATTGATTCTATTAAAGTAAGGATAATTAACACCCCTCTAAGCATGATTCAGAATCAGAAGCATCTATAGAACCTGAAAAGTGTTTGGACTGTTCTGATCTAGTTAGGCTCTCTGAGTAAGCAAAAATTATTATTTATGTCTAAGCCTTAAACTTGTGTGTTATATCCAGTTTCAACCAAATCATTTCAGGAAGTTTTCCCTCTGATTTCCACCTCCATTTTAGGTATGATTAAACTATCCCTAATACAGGGATACAAGCCCAAGCTTTTAAGGTTGCTGTTATGAAATATTGGCCATCTAATCTTTCTAATCAAAATATTCTTGAGAAAATAGTTGCTAAACAAGTGTCTGATCGCCTATACTGTAATAAACTTTTGAAAGAGTTGCAGTCCAGTTTTACAGCTTATTATAATATTGAAACACTCATGGTGAAAGAAATCGTAACGATACTCTCATGGCCTTAGATAATTAAGTTGTGGTTTTACTCCTCCTGTTAGGTCGATAACGATACAGTCGATAGTCTTTTCCTTTTAGAAAGGCTCAAATGGGCTGCAGAAATTAAAGGATCAACACTAGACTGGTATAAATCTTATTTGTCAGCCTAATTTCAGTTTGTCCATGTTAATGATAAATCTTCCTCAAGCTCCACAGTTGCCTATGGTGTACCACGAGGATAGGGCCAATTCTCTTTACTATATATATTACTCTTCATGGTAAAATTATCAGACAGCATGTGATTCATATTCGCTGATATGCTGATGATACTCAGCTATACTTGTCCATAAATCCTGATGAAACTTACCAATTAAACAGACTACAAACATATAGGGACATAAGAAGTTGGACTCGTAATTGTTTCGCTTTAGAATTAAGACAAGACAGGAGTTATTGCCTCTCAATCACAGTGTTCAAAAAAGAAGCTTACCAGTCAGTCACTTCATCTGGATGGCATTAAATTGGTCTCATATAATAACATAAAAAAAAAAACAATGTGTTATTTTAACCAGGATTGTCATTGATATCCCAAATTAACTTGGTTACTATAATTTTTTTTCTTTCATCCCCAAAATGTAGTTAAAAGCATCCCACTAATACACCGCACTGCAACCATTTTGCAAAGCCATTTTGATGAAAAAAAGATAAATTGTTCCAGCTACCCTTTGTTGGCTTCCTCCTAAATCTAGAATATATATATATAAATCTCTATAGTTGTGCTGCTATAGGCTTATACTGCTGGAGAACATAGGGATTCCTTTTCATTACTCAGCTTAATTGGATCTCTATTTTAAAATTCTGCAGTATTGAATGTATTAGAGCAACCACTAACTTTAGGGAGGGAGCCATCAGCTGGAATGCTACCACAAACACCTTTGATTATAAATGCTAATTGAGTCTGTTTCTCGGTGCTTAGCTCTGTTTCTCTAACTACACAAAGCTATGGGCTCAGCTTTTACTGTGACTAACAGTATGTGCTCTCTGTCATCCTTTTTGAACATGAAAACCCACTCAAAGCTCATCTGCTTGAAGGTTTCTTTGCTGGACAGAGCCAGATGTGGAACTAGTTTACCATTACCCTTTCTAATATAACAGAAGACACTCGCACTGATCCTGGTTCTGCTAAAGGTTTCTGCCAATTAAAAGGAAGTTTTTCCTCCCCACTGTTGCTGCATGCTGGGTCTGTCTATGATAGCTGCAGAGTTAATGGCAAAATGTAAGCAGATATCTGCTGTCTCCACGTGCTCCTCCATGAGAAATTTGCCCTGTTTCCACTACCCCTCTGAAAGCGATCAGAGCCAAGTTCGGACCCAGCTAGTATAGAATGGCAAGCATAGAATGGGTCAGTCTTGTTTTTGAGCTCATATTGTTGAAGGACCCATCACAGTCTCAGAAAGCAACTTTTAAAATGTAGATATGATTGCTTTTAGTGAGATGCTAAAGTTTTCAATCAGATTATGATTTAATTTAAAATATAAAATGTTTGTATCAGCTGTAGCATTTTGTTTTCCTGCAACATGAATAGTTTTTCATCAACACTTTTGATTTTGTGTAATTGTCATATCACTGCTATATGATTACAGCCCTTTATCATTGCCCTTGAACAGTGCTGTGTAAAAAGTATTCCCTCTTACAGATTTCTCCTTTTTTATGCAATTAATAAATCCATTTCTCCCTCTACAGTATGTTCAGCTTTCCTTTTATGTTCAAAGAAGGAAAGTTGGAAGTATGTGGGGTTTTTTTTTTACTCCCAAAGTTTAGCTGTACAACCTGAAATTAGAGGTTCTAGCTTCCATGTAAAATTTCCGCCAATGATATCTGTATTTTTTTTTTTTTTTTACATATGACTAGCTGTGTAAGTAGGAACCTGTAAGACTGGTAGAAACTTGTCATGTTCCAATTATATTCAGCATTAAACTGCAAGCAATAAGCATATAAGGTGTTCCCCTCTGTACCTAAGAATATCTCTGATGGGAACTTTTAAAATGCACAGATTCCTTTTTCTTAGAGTGGTATGACTTCTTTGTGTAATCATGGCATTTGGAATTAAAACAAACAGTTCTGCTTTGCTGAAGAGCGCAGTATAGCAGAAAATGATATCATTAAAGCATTCGGTAAACATGCCAGTCACAAGAGAGCGCAGTGCAGCTGGTCGTGGAACAGTACAACCCTTTGAGTTATTCTAAGTGACCAACAGTTCCTTTGGGCTGTTGTTTTTAAAGATGATTAGAAAATTGCTCAGCGCTCCAGAGTTGCCGAAACGGCTGGATTGAAATGATTTAACACAAAGCTAAAACCGAGCAGCATACCAGCTCTGGTACCAGTCAGGGATTTAGACATTTGGAAACAAAGCCAGTGGAGCGTGCATGAACGAGCTCACACACGCAGGACTGTTTGAGGAGGAGAAGCCCAGGCCTTTGCTGGTCTTCATGGGGTTTAATAGCTTCAGTTGGATTTCTGGAATCTTTTTTGGGTAAAATCATAATGCTTAATCATAAGGCAGCTGCTAATCCCTCTAAAATATTAAAACGTTTTCCTTGGACCTAAAGTTGTATTTCTAGAGATAAGATATCTTTTTTGTTTTTAAATGTTCTAATTTCACATAGATTTCTCGACCTTGACTTAAAGTTAGAGTGACACTCTAATATATCATCTTTAGGGTTTCGTATTGAAGTTTATTGTTTTTTTCCAGAACAGCATTGCTAGAAAACTCCCCCCAGAAAAGATGAGGAAATGTTTATTCATCTAATAAATAATACAAATAAATTAAGAAAAATCACATCTATTGTGCTCCAAAAAGCTCACTTCCTGTTTCAATTAATGAAATCACACAAGGAAAATCAGCCTGTGTCTATGATTAACAGTTATTCCTTTGTCTACTGAAAAATGACACTTTTAAAAGGTTAATTTAGTTACAAAAAGTAATTTGTTTGGGCATATATAGTGTGTAAAGACTGTGTATTTATTTAAATATTTCCATAAATATGTGCATTTGATATACTTTTAGAGGTTGTATGTCATTGTTACGCTACTTAATAAAAAAAGAAAAAATTCTGCATTGTTATGTCATAGTCTTTTCTTATCTCATTAGCTCCTGTTACATCCCACCTCACTTTACTTTTAAATCTCTATCAATCTTGTTTTGCTTTGTATGTTCTCAGCTCCTCCACCACGCTGCCTGTTCTAATTACATATCTGCTCATTTTATTTTTCTTTTCAATTAATCTTTTTCTCAGTTTTAGTTTTGTTTTTTGTTATTTTTCTAATTTAAACTGATGTCATATTTCTTGGTTTTGCCGTTCCTCATATCATCTACAGACACACATTCGTCGACCCCCAATCTAACTTTGTCTGGTTATGTCTTTTATTCATATGCTGATGAAGATTCTCAGTCATCCAGGTCATAGTCATTCCGTATAAAAAAATAAAAATAAAAAAATCCACTGGACTTGGTTTCCAAGATTTGAAGACGTTTCGCTACCTCTTGAAAAAGCTTCCTGGAGAGGTAGCGAAACGTCTTCAAATCTTGGAAACCAAGTCCAGTGGATTTATTTTATTTATTTATTTTATTTTTTTACTTTTACGGAATGTATTATCATATCTATACTCAAGTTGCATAGTTGTTTCTTTTTTCCTTTCATCTAAAGCAGATTATCCAGTTTATCTACTACTAACTCATCTAAACTATTCCTGTCCATTCTTTTGTTTTCATATAGTCTTAAGTTACTTAAAGTCACTTTATTCACTTTGGTTTAATTTCATATTCCCTTGTCTCATCTCATCATTTTATTTTCATTTCTTATTTGATCAATAATCCTCTCATTTAATATTCTCTTATCAGATCTTCTATCAGCTTCATCTATCTAGTCTTGGAATGTTAGGTCTCATCTTATATCTTACATTTGTCATGTTATAGTTGGAGGCAGAAATAAAGAGATGAGGATGGAATACGACTAATAAAGTATGGGATTAAAATGTAAAATGACAAAATGTAATGCCAAAGGTCCTTTAAAGTCTGGAAATTACACATTACCCATCCCCTTTAAGCTTCAGTAGACAAGTTATGATTAAGGCTTCTTGAAATCATTGAGGTTTATCAAAAACAAGTTATCAATGCCCTTGTTAAGGTTAGAAAAGGTTGACTTGAAGCTTCTGCACCACTTGTGGAAGGGTTTTGCAGTGCTATTTATACTGTTAAATAGTTATAAACAGTTTTACCAGCTGTTCCATTCATGTACAACGCATAAAACTCAGTTGCAACTTGCAACATACAGTATCAAGTGAAAAAAAATTAACTCTAGAAAAAGGCATTGAACCTAAAGCAAATTCCTTCTCTTTATCCATGTGTTATTCTTTATCTTTTTAACCATATCACAAACTTTATATATTAATTTAAAATATTAAAATATAACCTGCCTAAATATCTCAAACTATTTAGCCTGAGGAATGACTAGATTTTGGGGAATCTTTTATTATCAGTTAAGCTTAGCCAGATTGATGCTTGACCCAACTGACAGGTGAGGCATTTATTTGACATCATGAAATAAGCTGGAAGACTCTGAAAAGAAACATCATTCCATAATCTGAAGGAATTCCGAAAAAATAAACAAAATATAAATTTAACATTGCAGGAAATTGGTCCACAATGAACTATAGATAAAGAAAAGGATGTAATTAAAATTCACATTGGAATTATAGTGTTTTTACACAATATGTCGCTCTGAAAAGTGTTCTGCTTCCATTTCCAAGGTTTTTGGACTCCAACAGCATTTTTGGAGAGAGAACACCAAACCAACAGAAAACATGGCGGTGGTAGTATCCAGTAGTCTGGTGCTGCTTTTCTGTCGTGGGAACTGGATAACTTCATGAATTCCTTATTCTACTCCATAGAAGAAAAATACTGGCCCTTAAAGGTCCTATAATATGCTGTTTTAAGCAGCATCAGAAGGCAAGCATATTGTGGAAAAAAATGCCTTTAGCAATACAGAGTAATCATTTGTTATTAATCATAGTTTTGTCATTTAACTCTGAAGAAAAACTCTACCTATTTCATGATGTTGAGGTGAACCACACCACTTCTCAAGGCTGAACAAAATCTGAAAGCTCTAGAGGCCAAAAATGACAGCAGAAAAAAATAATAGATTTATAAGCTAAAAGGTGCTACCCTGTGCATATTAGCTGTGAAAAGAGCCTCTTCGTCTTAACTTTGAGAGAGAATCATTGTGCACTGCCTCACATCACCCCCTTACTGATCGGAGAAAGTGGGTGATGTGAGGCAGTGCACAATGATTCTCTCTCAAAGTTAAGACGAAGAGGCTCTTTTCGCAGCTAATATGCACAGGGTAGCACCTTTTAGCTTATAAATCTTTTATTTTTTTCTGCTGTCATTTTTCGCCTCTAGAGCTTTCAGATTTTGTTCAGCC